AAAACCCAACTTTTCTTCGTATTTGTTAGAGGGTATAACAAAAATAGGGGCGAGGAGTGATGCCACAACGGCTGAACAGAAAATTTGTCAAGGGGATTACCTTCATTTGTCACTTTGACAAGTTGTAACTCTGTGCTTACAAGGGCGTCGCTCACTGACGATGCCAACTACGATGCCGGAGAAACGTCTGGGAATGTACTCAGCAAATGGTCTAATGCCGGAAATCACGAATACTACGGCAGAAGACACGGGACTAGGTACGTTCCGCAAGGTCTCTCTGACGCTTCGACTAAGTTGCGAAAACAAGGTCGAACCAACATTATAAAGGTAAAGGAGACTGTAACCAAACAGAAGTCAACACCATCCTGGTCTTCATATCTAAGATAATTAAGTTTTTACTTAACAATTTGTCCATGTTTACAAGGATAAGTCATCCGTACAGAAACTTGTTTTTCTCATTCGAATTTAATCTAGAATGGTCTTATTATAGTTTTCGGCATCCATGCATAAAAGTATCTTATTTTATAGAGGATAAATATTGCTAAGCTTACCACAACTAAGGAACTTACTTGAGAATGTGTGAGCTTTTTCTGGCACCAATCCTCTCTTTTTTCAGAAAATTATCTCGTCTTACGTAGCAGCACAGTGTTCCAGTATACTCAAACTTTGCTAGGTGCAAGGAAGTAAATACGCAAATATCCATGCCATATAAAGATAAAAATATAAACAAGACAACTTAGTGCTGGGATATCGGTTCATAAGTTATGCGAGAAAGGCCACAAAATTCAACACTATATTCTCGTGGATTATTATAGCCGAACTATTTTATCTGGAAATTCGAAAAAATGTACATAGTATCTAAGCCAAACTACTATTAATCACCGGGACACCGATTGGTGGATTACTCGAGAAATTGTCGATGATCATTTGAGTTATCTCATATATATATATATATATATGGTCCAGTCAGTTGAATCTTTTATTAGAAGCTAACACGTCATCTTATTTCGATGCTCTTTATAAGAGTAAGAGACAATCAAATTAAGCAGAATTTGAATCAGATTCCTGCCTTATTCTGAATTCCCATGAATGTACATAGATCCGTTAATATGTCGTTAAATGTGGGAATGCATTTTGGTGGAATAACTTAAATTATTGAAAGTATTGCCAGGAAAGTAGAGATGCCCAATTTTATCCCTTCATGCAAATCGCTTCCTAACCCCATGCTTCTTCTATATACTAGACTCTCAACCATTCAAAGTGGAAAGCATCCATATATATTGTTTTCATTTAATTCCCAGACAATTTTAACTGCCTTTATGTGCACCTGATAAATGTTATCGATTAAAAACATGCTATGCCTTGTTATATTTATTTTATAGAGTAAATAGAGTTATTATTTATTTATTTATCATACAAACACTTAAAGAATTATAATCAGTACTGGTCGTCTGTTAATAAATTAATAAAAACAACTTCCTTAGCATCTTATTTAAATTCCATTGGTCAAATATATTGGTACATATCGGAAATACCGTAGAAGGAATCCTTGAGCATTTTCCAGGTATAAATGCTTCATGTAAAAGAGCATTTTTCGCGTATTCTAATCAATCCTTATACAGAAAATGTTATGAAAAGCATTTTTTCTTGGGAAGAATTTTTAGTGATATATGAGATGTATTTATCCTATTTCGTTTAAGGTGGTGAAAGACTAGTAGTAGAATTTTTCATATTTCCTTAAACGAAATAGGGTGAATACAGCTCATATAACAGATTTACTGGTAGTCTCGAAACCCTTCTTATATACGAAAAATTAGTAATGTAGTCGATTGTTATAACAAAAATACGTTTGTCTTATCGACAATCCCACCAAAGAATGTGATGTGAGAAAGGGCATGAACTTCCTTGAAATGCACATCTGCACTGCAACCCAAGGGCACTCGTGGCAATGTGGCTGAGTTGTTAACGTGTCAAGCTCACATTCTGCACCGTCACTGTTCGACTTCCGCTTGGAGTGTTGATAAGACCCATGTGAGGTCGAAATGCAGTCAACTCTGGATGAGAACAGCTTTTAGGAAAGCAACGCTATATGACAATTAATTTAAACGTCTGCTCTATCCATATAATTATGGGAAAATTCTACTACTAGTCCTTCATCACGTTAAACGAAATAGGGTGAATACATCTCATATAACTGAGTTACTGGTAGTCTCGAAGCCCTGCTTATATACGAAAAAAATTATATTGTTTTCGCATGGACGATATAAATGTTAGCTGGATTGAGCAAGGGCAGGGCATCAGATTATTTCCTTTAACAGAATTTCCTAAAATTTTACACAATGATGAATTATTTTAAATTAACCCTTTTAACTATTTGCGCTAGAATACACATTTAGTTACTAGTTCATGGCTTTGCATATATAATTATTTGTCTTTTGGGAAAGCATGGCAATATGAAATTTAGTGGAGACATCAGCTCTACTCACATCATTGTGGAGAAAATTCTATCAGTGATTAAATAAATTATTATTACTATCATTATATCGCAAATATGTTGGAAATCTCTTATTCTATGCCATTTCCTATTGTGAAATTAATGCAATTTGAGTCTCTTGTTCATTATTTTCTCTTTCTAAATTAGCCTTACTTACTCACGCTAAACAATTTTTCTTTATTTTATTTTAAAATAAAATGTCTATATGCGATAAAAAGATTCTTGTGCCGATACGAATAATGTTTTCGATTAGGATGCCTACCTGCACAGCCCTTTCCAAAAGACACAACACCAATTTGACTCCATTTGTTTGTTATTGCGTCACGACACATCAGTGGTCCTCCACTGTCTCCTTTACAGGCGTCTTTCTGACCGTCCATGTGTCCAGCACAGAGCATCGATTCTGTCAATTGACCGGCGTAAGCTGTCGTTTGATTACACGTTTCCAAACTAATAATGGGAACCAATAGATCCCGAAGTGTCCTTGAGACCCCAGAGTCTACAAGGATAGGTGTGTGACGGGAGAATATGATAAAATTTGGTGTAGACTTTGTTCAAGGGATAACAAATTAATATATATACACTGAGGTTAGAAACACTCACATTTCTGGTTCCAATCAAAGAATATCATGCTGAAGCTAATTTTGTAGGTATGCCATTTTTGTTGATTTCCTAAGTGAGAAAAATAGTATATATACAGCGATATGTGGTATTATAAAAGCAGTATCGCTTTACGCGATTTTAGCCGAACTCGTCAAGAGGTATTAGTATGTGCATATACATGAAGGAAACTTAAGCCTTAACAAAATCCACTCATGAAGTTAATAGTTTTATAGTGGTTGTTTGACCTTGTTTTCGCAACATGGTCATATTGGTAGGAAGACTCATTGGAACGCA